CACCCGCTGCAAACCTCGGAGAGAAAGCTGCCTTCGAGTTCCGACCGAAGCCAGACAGTCCCGCTTCTCCCGTTTGAGTCAGGGTCCCTAAAGACTCGCCCGGATCTGGAGCTCAGAGTCTGCGACTCCCTTCCGATTGAAAACGCCAACCGCGCCCTCCTCAGCCAGCCTGCTCCGTGCACTCCGCACCTCAGAATTTGACTTCAGCACTGCGCCTCCTCTGAGTGTCCGTATGCGTTTCTCTTTCCTCCTAGTTGTAGGACTTCCACTCAGCCAGCAGTCCTGTGGTTCTGGGTGGTGTCCGTTCCGTCTTTTAGTTTCACTTTTGAAGTGGTTGTTCAAGGCAGCAAACTCCAGCGTTAACCTATGCCGCCATCTTGGTTCTCGACAAGTTCTTGTTTGCTTGTAAAAGGTCATCTGGCTGTTGCAGAAGGAGGATACAGTGCAGGGGTAGGGGTGGCGGGAGGGGACTCAGGGAAGTGATTGGGGTTATCTGTATGAACAATTACGGTGGCTTAGATCAGAGTATAGACAGGTGGTTACAGGACATAGTTTGAAGAAGAAACAATGGACTCAACAAAAGATAGGAAGAGTGTGCTTGGTGTGGGAAACGAGGAATCAAAGCTGATTCCTAGATTTGGGGTTTGAGTGAGAGGACAGCATTGCTTATTGGGAAAAGGGATGTTTTAGGGGTAGAATAGGGAGTCCTTTTGTGGCCACATTAGGTTGGAGATGCCAAAGACAGCCAAGTTCATTGCCTAGTCCAGTGGTCGGCAAACTGCGGCTCGTGAGCCACATGCGGCTCATTGGCCCCTTGAGTGTGGCTTTTCCACAAAATACCACGTGCAGGTGCGCATGTACAGTGCAATTGAAACTTCGTGGCCCATGTGCAGAAGTCAATATTTTGTGGAAGAGCCACACTCAAGGGGCCAAAGAGCCGCATGTGGCTCGTGAGCTGCAGTTTGCCGACCACTGGCCTAGTCCACTGTCTGCTCCACCACCCAGTGCTGTGCTGGGCCTGCTCAGATGAGGGTTGCTGTGGGCTGGATATCTAGGCTGCCTTTCTCACACTTCTCCTGCCTCCTGCCTGCCTGTGGTGGGGCCCAGGGGTGGTGGTGGTGGGTGGGGGAAGGCTGGGTCCCAGCATAGAGTGTGATGGGAATAGTTCATTGGCTCTCAGTATCCCTCCTTTCTTCTTTCTCTTCCTGCTGGTTTGCCTTCCTTTGTACTGCAGACGCTGAGAAGAACCACATTTCCTAGACTTCTTTGTTGCTCTGGTTTTGGATGCAGATTCTACCAACTAGAAATGCTTGAGAGTTTGGAAGGTAGAAGTGAGGAAGACCTCCCCTCCTCCGTGCGTGCGTGTGTGTGTGTGTGTGTGTGTGTGTGTGTGTGTGTGTGTGAATCCTGCTGGATATTTAATTAACTTTATATTCATTTTAGTTGATTTTTGCAGAGCACTCCAGTAGACCTATGTTCAGCTATGTGGGTCTTGGGAGGTGTTCTTGAACTTAATTAATGGCTCTGATGGCAGCCTGTTGGCTCTCCACCTTTCTCACTAAGCAGAGGAAGCAGCTGCCTAGTGGTCAGCTTTGTGCTGTGCTGGCCTATTCCTGGGCTACTCAAAATGTGGCCTCATAGGCAGCCTCACCTGGGAACTTGTTAAAAATGCAAGGTCTTGGGCCCCAGCCCTGCTGAATCAGAAACTCTAGGGTGGGGCCTAGGAAGCTGTGTGCTAGCAAAGTGTTCCTGGTGATTCTTTTGCACACTGAAGTTTAAGAATCACTTGCTTACAGCCCACTCTCTCAGTCCCTCCAACGGTGTTGTAATTCTTATATTAAATTCCTTTCTGCTTAATGTGCCTAGAATAGTCTTTACACTGAAGTGGAATAAGAGTTCTAGACTTAAACTGTCAGGCTTTGAACCCCAGCTCACTGCTTCATCGTCATGGGACCAAACTGTAATTTCCAAAGATGGCTCCAGCCTTATATCTCCCACCCCACATGCTCTCGGGGAATCTTGCCTCTCTGCACTCCGGAGGTGTGTGTAGAATTTACATCCCACTCCCTTGAACATGGACATGACTTTGAGCAGTCCAGAGGACACCAAGTGACTCCTGAAGCTAGGTCAGAAAAATGCAATGCATTTTGCTTGCTCTCCTGGGATGCTTGCTTTTGGGGACTGCTGTGAGGAAGCCCAAGCAGACTATGGAGGGGTACTGATGCTCTCATTCTATCTGCCTCTGTTGCATCCCCAGACGACAGTTGGCATTAACTTGGCAGCCATAGGAGTGAGCCACCTTGGAGTAAATCCCTCAGTTGAGATTCTCTAGCTGATGCCACGGGGAGCAGAGACAAGCTGCCTTTCCAAGCCCTGCCCAAATCACAGATTTGAGAACTAAATAAATGACTGTTGTTGTTTCAAGCCCCTAAACTTTTTGGGGATAGTTACACAAGAAAAGCTAATGGATATGCTTTGTATCTCTAAACCTTGGTTGGAAAGAAGACAAAAGCTCAGATCTTACAGGGTTCATGTGAGAGTTACATGAGATGAGACATGTCAGGACATCGAAGTGCTCCATCCGTGTCAGCGACTGTTATTCTGATAGGACTGTCCCTTGGATGCTAGTTCCAGGTTGCCATCTACCCAGTGCCCTTCCCTAAAGACTCCCCTTCTTCTTTCCGTACTTGCTAGATGCCCACAGAAAATGGCAACAGCTCCATTGCCAAGCACTCCTTGTGCCAGGCACTATGCCCATAAGAGCTCCTCGAATCCTCACAAACATTCCTGGGGTGTGTGTGTGGGGGATCATGGGGGCAAATATACAATCCCATTTTACAGGTGAGCAAATCGAGGATCAGAGAGTACAAGTGCTTACCCACACCACACAGTTAGTGGCATAGCCCCGTCTCACTCTAGAATTTCTGCCCCCTTTCTTCCTCCCCAGATTAGACTTCCCTTCAGCACCCACCTCCATCCTTTAGGGGGAGCACTTGCTTGTTGGCCTTCCCACAGGAAGACGGAAAATGTACTCAGCAGAAACATGACAAGACAACAATTTATTTATTGAGGGTGAGCCAGAGGGAGGAGGTGGGGCGGGATGGGGGCACAGCCTCTCTTGTCCACATGTTCCAGGGCTGCTTCTCCCCACACAGCTGCCCTCCACCAGCCCTGGAAAGCCAAGGTCAGTTGGAGTTGAGGGGAGTGAGTTCAGGGATAAAACAGGGGGCTTACAGAAGCCAGAGAGCAGGTGGGGTCAGAGGGTGGTGGGGTCAAAGGTGAGGCAAGGTCGGAGGTGAAGGGAGGCTCAGAGGGAGAGGGGGTCGAAAGTAGACTGGGGTTTATTTGTCTGGGGGTACATTGGGGTGGTGGGTGAGGTCATAGGTGAAGGAGAGGTCACGGAGAAACAGAGTTCATGGAGTTAAATGTGGGCCAAAGTGGGGCTCAGGGGTCGAAGGTCAGCCGAGATCAGGGGAGAAGTCAAGGCTGTAGGGTCAGAGGGTCAGAGCTGAGTCAGGCTTGGTGGTGCTGCAGGGTTCTCAGGGGCCCAAGTGGAGCTCTAAGGGGTCAAAGGTGAGCAGCCCAGCGGGGGTGGGGGCCGGCAGGGGTGAATGAATGAGGTGGTCTAGGCCACCTCCTCCTCGGCCTCCTCCTCAAACTCGCCCTCCTCGGCCGTGGCGTCCTGGTACTGCTGGTACTCGGACACCAGGTCGTTCATGTTGCTCTCGGCCTCGGTGAACTCCATCTCGTCCATGCCCTCGCCCGTGTACCAGTGCAGGAAGGCCTTGCGCCGGAACATGGCGGTGAACTGCTCCGAGATGCGCTTGAACATCTCCTGGATGGAGCTCGGGCACCGTCAGGGCGCGGTACTGCTGGCTGCCCCGGCTGGTCAGCGGCGCGAAGCCGGGCATGAAGAAGTGCAGGCGCGGGAAGGGCACCATGTTCACGGCCAGCTTGCGCAGGTCCGCGTTCAGCTGGCCGGGGAAGCGCAGGCAGGTGGTGACCCCGCTCATGGTGGCCGACACCAGGTGGTTGAGGTCCCCGTAGGTGGGCGTGGTCAGCTTGAGGGTGCGGAAGCAGATGTCGTACAGGGCCTCGTTGTCGATGCAGTAGGTCTCGTCCGTGTTCTCCACCAGCTGGTGCACGGACAGCGTGGCGTTGTAGGGCTCCACCACCGTGTCCGACACCTTGGGCGAGGGCACCACGCTGAAGGTGTTCATGATGCGGTCGGGGAACTCCTCCCGGATCTTGCTGATGAGCAGCGTGCCCATCCCGGACCCCGTGCCCCCGCCCAGCGAGTGGGTCAGCTGGAAGCCCTGCAGGCAGTCGCAGCTCTCAGCCTCCTTCCGCACCACGTCCAGGACGGCATCCACCAGCTCCGCGCCCTCCGTGTAGTGGCCCTTGGCCCAGTTGTTGCCGGCTCCGGACTGGCCTGAGAGGGAAGGGAACCGGACACACGGGCTGTTGTGGGAAGAGCCTCCCCAGCCCCTCCCCCAGCCATCCTCGTGGTTGAACAACAATGACAAAATTATTATGATAGATAACATAAATTATTATACTTTTGTTGTGATGATTATTCATTGTCCTCTCTGCTTCCATCCTTGCCCCTCCCTTCAGCTGTTCCCCCTGTCTTGTACATCCTTCCTGCCTTTCCATGCCCTAATCACCTTTTAGGCCGCAGACATTAATAACAATAATGATTGTGAAAACAACAAGTGCTTTATTTACCTTTTTCTCGGTGCTGGGCATTGTTCTAAATCCTTTATACATATATATTTTAAAAATATATTTTATTGATTTTTATACAGAGAGGAAGGGAGAGGGATAGAGAGTTAGAAACATCGATGAGAGAGAAACATCGATCAGCTGCCTCCTGCACACCCCCTACTGGGGATGTGCCCTCGGCCAAGGTACATGCCCTTGACTGGAATCGAACCTGGGACCCTTGAGTCCGCAGGCCGACCCTCTATCCACTGAGCCAAACCGGTTAGGACTAAATCCTTTACACATATTAATGGCTTTGAGCCACACAAGCCTGTGAAGTAGATGTTTTAACCCTATTTTAAAGATGAGGAGATGAGCACGGAAATACTGCCCAGAGTCACCCAGCTGACTGGATCAGTGCCTGAGCTCTACTTGCTTATATTGCCATCCTCCCTTCGTCCACCAGGGTGCCAGCTCCAGGGGAGAAGAGAGCTTGGTCTGTTTTGTTCTCACGTGTATCCCCCTGGGGATATAGTAAGACCCGCATGCAGTAGGTGCTCAATACATCTGTGTAGAATGTATGAAGTGGCAGAGCTGGGGTTTTCATGCAGGAAGCCTTCCTTACCCACCCCCACCCAACCCCAACGCACCCCACCCACCCCTGCCACTGTATCAGATGCCTCCCCTGGGCTCCCACAGTCGCCAGGCTGGCTGTCGCCAACACAGCCCTGACTGCCTTCTCTGTGTCCCGCCCTGGGCTGTGGGGCCTGTGGGGGTGAGTTTTCACTAAGCATTTGGAAGTCAAAGGAGCAAGGGGCTTCCCTGCCTGTACTCCATGCCTGGCACTCACCGAACACAAAGTTGTCAGGCCGAAAGATCTGGCCAAAGGGGCCGGAGCGGACGGAGTCCATGGTGCCTGGCTCCAGGTCCACCAGCACGGCTCTGGGCACGTAATTTCCTCCTGCCGGGAAGCAGATGGAGGTCAGCTGGGGTGAGCGCCAGGAACCAGCATGCAGTCCCCCCATGCCTTCCCACCCCCACTCCAGAAGGTGCCCCTGCATCCTACCTGTGGCCTCATTGTAGTATACGTTGATTCTCTCCAGCTGCAGGTCGCTGTCCCCATGATATGTGCCCGTGGGGTCGATGCCATGCTCATCACTGATCACCTCCCAGAACTAGAGGGGTGGTGGTGGTGGGGTAAGAACCAGTAGAGAGGGAGAGGGGATCCAGGCCTGCCTTGACCTCCATCTTCTGGGCTCAGGACCGCCAACCACCTCCCTGGCTGCCACCTGTCCCCCAGCAAGGTGAACGGGGGCCCTACAGGCATGGTGGGGAGGCAGGGATGAAACAGCAAGAAGGGAGAGGTGGGGGCAGGGTGAAGCAGAGTCGCCAGCCAAGACTGCTGGTGTCAGTGCACCCTGGCTGCAGCCAGCGCGAGAGTCTGGGACTCTTTGTGCGTGTGCAGGGGACAGTGGGCCAGCTGTGAAGCCAGCTGTGGCCAGCAGACAGAGGCTGGTCCCCACCCCCATTGGCCTCTTTGTTCGCAGCCTGGTCCAGCCCCCGAGCCCCCTCCCTCACCGTCCCTGGGGTGCTGGCCTCCTGGAGACCCCGTTGGCCAAAAGGCCCAAGGTCGGGAAGCTCCGCGGAGTTCAAGGGCCCCGCTCCACTGGTCTCAGCCACCTCCCGGGGCCCGGTTCCCCGCGCACCTTGGCCCCAATCTGGTTGCCGCACTGGCCGGC